GCCTGGGTACCCTGGTCCTGCTCAAACCAGAGAACAAAACCCATGCCACCCAGCCAGATGCTGGAGTGTATCACAGAGAACCAAGGCCCAATTAAGCAGCCTGAGTTCCAGTCATCTACACCCACCGAAGACTCTCATTGGTGCCAAAGTGCTAGGCTGGTTCCGATTCTCCTCCCAGCCCAGAGGGGGATAGCAACAGGAAGTTTCCAGGGACTTGCCAACTGATTTGTTTTCTTTCAGATAAATGACTTCTTCCCACCCCACTCCAAAGTGTTTTACAATACCCAAGCTGACTTAATATAAAAAAGTGGTGGGGAAGGTCCAGCCCAGAGGAACTGGGTCTGGCATGAGCTCGTGCCTGGCCAGAGGTGCCTTGCCTCCCACCTCAGGGAAGACTCCCCAGAGGGCACCTGAGGTTCCAAAATACTCAGGCGCAAGCAAGAAGGGTTGGCATCCAAGCCCTAGGGCAAAGAAGGAAGGAAGGAAGGAAGGAAGGAAGGAAGGAAGGAAGGAAGGAAGGAAGGAAGAGAGAAGGAGGGTGGGAGGGAAAGAGGGAGGCAGAGAGGGAAGGAGAGAGGGAGGGAGGGAGGAAAGAAAGAAAGAAGGAAGAGAGAAAGGATACAAGGGAGGGAGGGAGGGAAGGAGGAAGGGTCCAGAAAGAGGATTTGACATTTGCGAAACTTTTTCCCCCTGTCAACCAATACTTAATTTAAGTGTTTTTCTGTGGGGGGGGGGAAAAAGTTTAAACAAATTCCCTCTCAGAGTGAAAAATCCTCTCTTACCCATTGTTTTTTATATTAAGTAATACATATTCATGATAAAAAGTAAATTGGAAAAATACAAGCAGAAAAATTAAAGTCACTCCGAATCCTACCTTCCAGATTTAATCACTGTTAATGCTTTAAGTATATATTTCCAGACTTTGTTGATTGTAAATATAAACCTATTTTTATAGACACATATAAATACCTTTTGAAAAAGTTTCAAGTTCAGGAAAAAACATTCCACCTCAACATATAGGGCTGTGCTGCATTTTAAATGATGTTACAGTGGTTTGTTTTTTTCAATTTCCATTTTTATTACATGTTTGTAGTTCATAGTGATTATACTCATTGTGGGATGGGATAGTATTTCATTATGAGGTGCCGTAATTAAATTAATCAGTCTCTTCTTATTAGGCCGAGTTTAAGTTTTCGCAAACATGAACAACACTGTCACCTATCCAGGGTTTACCCTCTTGTTCAACTTATTCTTAAGAACAAATTCCTCATGTGGAGTGGCTGGAGCAGAACGTTTCTAGAATATGTACAAATCTCCCTGACCAGTCTTTTGCACCGATACACCATTTCCTTAAAGTGACAGATCTTGGTCTTGTGCTTAGCATTTACAGCAGCCCTTAGCTTAATAAGTTATGTTATTCCAAAATAACACTCCATAAACCCATGTATATGAGCTCACAAATGACTCAGTGGTATTTAAAAGATGTACAGTTTTATTTTGACTTAGTAATCTGCTAAAGAGAGACTCACACGACAGATGTACCAGGAAGCATAAATGCCATGAAAAATCTATGTAAGATTAGACCTAACCACCCACTTTCTGATAGTTCTTCATCTCCTGACCTTCTCTCCATCTGCCCTCCCTCCTTCTGGTTTCCACACCCTTTCTCTCCCCTTCTTTTTCTGAGATGGAGACTATGTTGCCCAGGCTGGCCTTGAACTCCTGGGCTCAAAGGATCTCCCCCACCTCAGCCGTGGACCACCATCCCTTTCTTTTTCAAACACTTGTCTCTCTCTGTGATCCCCTCTCCCCTGTCTCCTCTGCGGTCCTCTTCTTCCTTCCTGAGGTGGTGAGGATCCTGCATAAGGGTGGATGGTGGTAGAGTTGGACAAAGGTTCTAGCTGTCCAGGAAGCTCTACACACAGTCTGTGAAATCTTCAGCTTTTGGTATTAATTAATGAAGTTCTGTAGAAATGGGTTCACTCTGAAGTCGCCTGACTCATCTTCCTCTGCAACGTATTTACTGTAAATGGACCCTCCACTTCACCGTATTTCTATCAGACAGGCTGGGACGGTATGAACACCGTCTCTTGAGGTGGACTTGGCACAAGATTTGCGGAGTCCGCTCTCTTAAAAGTTGCTTTGACCAGGCTTAATGCTGCCTCAAATTAATAATGTGAAACATATGCTCCATCTGCTTGCTGGAGGGTGACAAAGCCATTTATGTTCATAATGGTCACAATTATTCTACAGATGAAATTTTTCTAAAGCTAGTCACACAGGCTGGTCAATCAGTTTCACCAAGGGGGAAAATTCCCCCTTAATTATTCCACTTAAGACCTCTTTGCCAAAACAGCCGGTTCACCATGGCATTATGATGTTGAAAGGGGAAACAAATAGGGACTAGAAACAGTTCTCCGAAGTTTTCAGACTTTCTGCCCCTAATAAGGCAGCCACAGATTAGAGCCAGTGGCTACGCAGAGAAGGCGCTGTACCTTTTCACAAAGATTTGGGGAGCTATGCATGATATTTGTGGGTTTCAGAGGCCAAACAAATCATTACAAGGCTTTTTTGAAAACTAAAATTGGGCCTAAAAAGTACTGCTTTCAGCAAAATGCTAACTTAAGTCTCTCTCAATCTCTCTCCACCCCCACCCCCTCCTGCCTGGTGGAAGCAGAAAGATACCTCTTTGATATCAGAGCAAATAAAATTTGAATTATTGACTTCTCATGTTAATGCTGCGTTTTACAACCACCATATTTCAAAATGAAATTATTTTAACATCTATGCCTCCAATTAAGATCTGCGATCATGTATATTGCAGTCCAGAAAATGTCTTCGGTTCAGATGATGTAAAGGCTGATTCCCCTGGAGAGTAAGCCCTGGCTGTCGCTCCTCCTGGGCTAACGCTCTCTTTGTCTCCTCCAAATAAATCTAAGTTTGGATGACATCAGGGAGCGCTGCTGCTGATCACAGGCAACCTGCGGGTGGGAGCAGGGAGTGGGCAGCACGAGGCAATGCCACTTACTAGGCAAAAATAGGTGGCACTTCAGATGCACAGCTGTTACAATATGGCTTTTTCCTATGATTTGTAACTGAAAGGTCTATGAGAAGACTTAATACATGGCGCACAAACCTTACTTTCCTCCCCACCCCCCTGCCAGGCTGGGATCCAAGGTTGAGGTTTCCCGTTCCATCTTTGCTCCTAGGAGTAGCACGATGTCTCTGTAGAGTTTTCACGGACTTCCAGTTTCCAGGGTCGGTCTATACCCAGCCAGCGGCTGACCGGAAGACGCAGGCTCCATGCAGCCCTTACAACCCCAACCCATCACTCCACCAAGGTGCTGGGGATGGGAGGGGAGGAGGGAGGGTGGAGAGCACCAGCCAGGGGGCCCGGCCGGCCAGAGGTCCCTGCCAGCGGCACCGTGAGCCCAGCCGTCCAGTCTGCCTTCTCCTCTGTGGCCAGCCGCGGGACTTCTCCTTCGGGAGCGAGACAGCCTCTCTTCCCAGCCTTCAGGTCACAAGGGCTCTTCAACTCCCACCAGGCCCACAATCAGCTGCTCGTTCACACTGGTCCCAGGTGACCACAATCCATAGCCGACTTCCCCTCCAGTGCCTGATGGCTTCAGAAGGTAAACAAGGACAAAGAAGGCTCTGATTCCATTTGAAAAGTGACTTCTCATAATTCCTTTTGCGTCTTAGGAAAGTAAAATCAAATGTTTATAAGGACTCATCTGAATACAGTTCCACTTTCCAGGCACAAACTAACAATTTTAAAAAAAAAGTGAGCTTTTCTGCAGCCATGAGACAAGAATGCATTTCTCTCAGAGGATGACACCCAGATAAACAACTGCACACGATAAAAACACCTTCAGGTGCTGGTGAGATGGCTCAGTGGTCTAAAGCACCTATTTAGAACAAGCTTAGCAAAGCACAGGGACCGCGGTTCAATCCCCCAGCACCACATGCCAGCCAGTCCCGCCCCCTGGTGGGCTGAGCTGGCCACACACACACACACAAAAAAAAATTTAAAAAAAAAAAAAAAAACCTTCAAATGCTTCCTAATCCAGGCTCTCATTTAATCTCACAGCTCCTTAATGTGGACATTTTAATTATAGTTTCCCAATTTTAAAGTCCTCTAGCACTGCTAGAAGACAAAAAAAATCTGAAGCATTATTTAATACTAAGATGGAGCAAAAGACAGGGACTTCAGGCCTCTAAAAAGAAAAGCAACACAGGGCTGGGGAGATGGCTCAGTAGAATAAGCGCCTGCCTGGCAAGTGCAAGGGTCTGAGTTCAATCCTCAGTACTGCAAAAAAAAAAAAAAAGAAAGAAAAAAGAAAAGAAAGAAAGAAAGAGAAGCAATGCAAAGGACCCAGACTACCCAGATTGTGCATGAAACACAGTCCATTAAGCATGCTGAGTCTTTGGCTAGGGAAGGGCGCTGTTGTAAAATATAAATAACTCTTCACTGGCATCCCTAGCTTTTTTGTTTTAATTTAAAACTGGAGTGTAATTACCTCTTATTTACTAGAGTCACAAACACCACCGAAGGGAAAATAAACCACTGCTTTTGGGATGAAGTTGCTGACAAAGGTTTGACAATGAAAAATAATTAATAGCTTCAGGCTGGCATGAGGGGTCTGTCTCAGAGCTTGGCTCAGGGGACCAGGGCATGTGCCAGGCTTGGCCACTGTGTGACCCTTGCATCCCTGGGTTGGCCAGGGGCAGGGTGCATCCTGGTTCTGACATCTACAGTGGCTTCCAGGAGACTTGGGTGATCGTGTGTGACCAAAGTCCGAGAGGTTTCTGAACGTCGTCGTTCTGTCCCTGTGCTGTGTATAGCTAGCTTTGTGCTCCGGTTATAAAGTTTCTCCTGTTTAAGAAAGCGGTCCACAGGCGAGTAATATCTTTCAGCTGGAGGGAGGGTTCTCCCAGATTGGTTCTGGGCTCCACTGTTTAGAATCCTCATCCGGAAAAACAGTGGCCTTCAGGGGAGGGAGCTGCGGCTGTCAGCGTCCAGGAGCCAGCCTGGAGCATCTCTGACTCAGTGGTCATTCAGGGGTCACACAGGGGCGGACACAGAGAAGACCCTGAGAAGGACGAGTCTGCCTCACAAAAGGCAGATGGAGGCCCCATCTTCACTTTGCTTTTACAGTAAACTGTAAAAGTCTTCTGAATACCAACAGCACTAAATACCAGCACTGATTCTTCTATGTTATTGGTCTAACATGAATGCTAGGACGCTCGTGACCCCCAGAAAGGTAAGAGACTATCATTCTTTTTATCAAAATGATTAATGATAGCATTGTTTGTCTTGCTTACATTTTTCCAGCTCCTGTGATAATTCCTTCCTTTCCCCTGGGCATGGGCATTTTTATGCCTGGCACCTGTTATATCCTCTTGGGGTATGTTGGGTGACTGGAAAGAATTCAGGTCTCTAAGCCAGAGATCTGATTTGGGCCCTGGAGAAATCACTCCATGTTCCTAAGCCTCAGTTTCCTCTCTGTGCAAAGGATATGGTATCTCTGGAGAACAGGCCAGGGTCACACTGGTCTAATTCGCTTTGTATGCCCAATGGATGCAATGGCAAATGCTTGGCACACGCCGATGCCGCCGCCACCACTGTGCCAGGCTTGAAAGTGGGCATCCAATAAATGAGACCCATTGTTATTATTACTATTAATAATATCAACAACAAAAACAAAATAATAGCTGTTCTTGACTCCAGAGAGCAATTTCTACTTCAAGCTCCATTATTTCAAATTAACTCAGCTATATTTTTTCCTCTTCTTAATAGAACTCAAAAAAAGAAAAAAAAAAAAAAAAAAAAAAAGAAAAAAGAAAAAAAAAAAAGAAAAGAGGAGAAAAAGCCCCAAGGTTTTGACTCCAAGTTCTCAGTGGTAATCTTGGCTTTAGGACTATCCACTCAGAATCTCAAGTCCAACAAGAACTATTAACACTGAAGTAGAAGGGGGAATTAGGAGTTCTGAACAAAGTAAAGGTCTGCTTGCACATATAATGGGATCATTTGTTCCTACAAATATTATTTCCAGGCTCTCTACATCTTTTGTCCTTTTCTCTGTAGCAAAGACCTCCAGGGTAAAGGGCATCTGGGGTCCACTCATGTTTGCAGAACAGGCTGGTACATCCTGTCCTTGCTACAGCGCCTGGCACATTGGTGGCAAAACAGACCTCTCTTTTGACACACTTTCTCTGAAGAGTCGGCGGGAGGCGGCTTGTTGAAGCCAAAGCCTCTGCCCCTCCCACCACAACAGGCTGTAGAGCTGCCTCCTGGGGCCCCCTGGTGGTCCTGGCCATACTCACAAGTATTCTCACACCCTTTGGGGTAGGGGTGGAAAAAAAGGCTTAACAGATCCATCCAAGACTTGACCACTGGCGCCTCCATCACCTGCTGGCGCCCCCTGGGTTCTCAGGACAAAGGCAGCTTACGCTGTGTCCAGGCTGGCGTGGAAATGGTGCCTTTCTCTAATGGCACAGTCATGTATGACGCATCTGGTGAGTGCCTGTTGTGTGGCAAGCCCATGCTGACGTGAGGAGGAGCTCTCAAGAACCTTTCAGCATAGCGAAGGCGGGCAGAAGACCCAAGAAGGACAGCATGAAGAGATGCGTCAGGGGAGCCCAGTGGACCGTGCCTGTTACCTCGGGAGTGTGGGAAGGAAACCAGGGAAGAAGTAAAGTTTCAACCACTCCTTCAAGTCTTTTCTTGGGGACCAGCAATGAGCCAGCAGAGAAAGGAAGATGTTCCAAGAGAGGCACCAACCTCCCCCAGCCCTGGCTCATTCAGGGACAGACAGAAAGCTGACCAACAGAGAACCTTGTCCAAGATGGGAGAGTTGATCTTCCCTATCAGTGATTTTTCAAGCCATGCTATAGGCTCTCCACAGACATGATTCCAGTTTCCAGGACCCTGAAGCTAAGAGAAAATTCTAGAAAGCTGACCGTAATCCACTGACTTCAAATTTGTATATTTCACAGCAGTTGAACCATGAGAAGGTCATCAGATAAATTCCAAGAGACTCCTACAAAATACCTGACCTGTCCTGAAAACTGTCAGGGAAAATCCCCAAACCTAACACAGCCTGGAGGAACCTAAAGAGATGTGGTAGCTAAGCTAACGGGATCCCCTGGAGCAAAGAAAGGAACTTATTAGAGAGCCAACCACTGAGCCAGCCTGACTCCCCCCTCCCCCCTTTTTTTTTCTGAATTCTGAAACTTCTAAAAGATAAAATCCATCAAAATGTCTTTGTTCGTCCAAATAGTCAAATTCTTGTTATGATAGTTAAGGCTTTGTGGTAGTTAAGTGCTATAGGGCCGTGGAGATGGCTCAGTAGAATAAGCGTTTGCCTGGCAAGCGCAAGAGCCTGAGTTCAATCCCTGGTTCCACCCAAAAAAAAAAAAAAAACATTATAAATTAGAACTCAGAAAACTGATTTATACTCTAGCAGTGTCAGCCATTCCTCCCTGGAGAGCTCCACTAAGCTGGAACCTCTGCTCAGGACTCTGTTACCTATCACATCTGGTGCCAACCACAGCCCCAAGGCTAGCATCTATCAGTACCACCTCCCCATTTCACAGATAGGAAAAGGAGGCACGGAGCAGTTAGACAACTTGCCTGTGGTCGTACAAATAAGTGGCAGAGGGTCAACTTGAGCCCAGGTCTGTCTGCTGTCAGAGTTCAGCTATTTAATGATGACATCACTGTCTCTGGACTTTCGACTGTCTATGCTATGGTTCAGTGTGATATTTCATTGAAAAACAAGGTCCTATGCCCCTTTTGTCCTGCCTTGCCACTGGAAGCCATGGCTATGGATGAGAGTCCTGGCAGTTTTCCTCTCAGGAGGGGCGAGGCCAGAACTGGGTTTGCAGTGAGCGCTCTGGCAGCTGCAGCGTGCAGGCTGGCACGGGCGGGCGCCTGGCCCTGCTGCTAGGATCTTCTAGCACCGCACCCAAAGGGGGGAGGAGAAGCAAGGGGCGCGAACGAACTTCCCTAAAAGGATAAAGCCAAGGCCGTGCGTAGGATGGGTCCCTGTGGATGCTGCCCCGACCAATCACTCTGAACCCCAAATGCACGCCCGAAAGGGGTCCGCCTCCACAGATAGGGTGACAGGACCCGGAGGAAAGCTGACAGAAGCCCAAGCACGGGACCTGCTCACAGGCAGGGAAGTCCGGCCACTGAGGGTGTGCTGCCCCGGGGTGCTTCAGGCCACCAGCCACACACCCTGCACCAGCTCCACAGTCCCTCGGCCTGGGCCACCTGGCCAGAAGATGTTGGGGCCAGCCAGAAGCCCAATCTCGCACCACGTGCTCTGCAGCCTCCTCTACCCTCCCAGGCCACTTAAAAGCAGCAGAACTCATCCGGCTACAGCACATTTGCAACCTGGAACCCCCTAGATGCCGTGGTACCACCACAGGTCCCCTACAGCATCCGTTTCCCAAGTGAAGGTGCCAGCTTCCACAGCCTGGCAGGCAGCAGGCACCCTCAGTGGGCGAAGGGCCTTAAGACTCCTGGGCCACGGGTCACACTGCAAGGGACTGCACTGGAGTTTAGGAGACTTGGTGCCAAGAGCTTGTTTTCCTTCTACTGCTGCAGCAAATGACCACAAACTTTGTGGCCTAAAATAACACACACTGACCGCTCGCTGCGTAGTCCTGGAGGCCAGAAATCAAAATGGGCCTCACCAGAATAAAATCCAGACATCAGCAGAGCCGATGGGGAAACCCTTCCTTGCCTTTTCCAGCCGCTGGTGGCCACCTGCACTGCTTCATGATGGCCTCTTACCCACCTTCACCACTGGTCACATCACATCTCCCTCCGCGTTCTCCTGTCTCTACCAGGAATTGAACCAACGGCCGTGCACATGCTAGGCACACACACATTCACCACCAAGCTGCATTCCCAGTCCATGCAAAAAAAATTATCTTGAAACAGGGTCTCGAGAAGTTGTTCAGGCTGGGCTCAAGTTTGTGATCCTCCTGCCTCAGCCTGCCGAGTAGCTGAGATTACAGGCATGTGTCATCAAGCAAACTCTGAAGGACCCTGGTGGTCACACTGGTCTTCTGGGTGATTCAAGATCACTTTCTTGTTTTAGGGGCAGCTGATTAGCAACTATTACGGTTTGTGTTTAGTTGTTCCCCTCAAAGCCACATGCAGTCATGGCGTGGCCTTCTAGACTGTGATTACTGGGATTATGGGTGTGAGTGCTGCTGGGATTATGGGTGTGAGTGCTACACCCAGCCTGGGGCAGATAGCCTGAATGCAACATAAGGGAGACAGACTTACCCTCCGTAGCCATTGTTGCTGCTGCTTCTGCCCTTTAGTGCTTGCTGTTTTGCTGTTTTCCACCGCCATGAACAGCTGCCCTCTGCCATGTGCCAATCTGCCTTGGAGCCAGCTGAGCATGAGTTGACAGCTCCTCTTTCCTTCCTTAATTCTGGATGTTGGGCATTTTGTCCCAGCAATGAGAGAAGAGTAACCAAGACAACAACCTGGATTCTGCACTGTTAGCTCCTCTTTGCCAGGGAAGGTAACAAATCTGCAGATTCCAGGGCTTAGGATACAGATATTTTGGGGGCACTATTAGTCACACTATAACATACCTCATCTTTTAAGGTCATATTGTAAGAGACCTGTCTCTTACATTCTGTCTCGAAGATGTGAAACAATTATCTCTTGTCAAGCGCCCACTGGGTGTCCCTACCACACACCTGCTAGCCTTCCTCCTACTTAATTGTATTGCATGTCTGCGCGGCGGTGCTGTTAACGCCCCAATCACACCATTCCCCTAGCAAATCTCCACGTGGCGTTACACGTGGCTTGGGAAAAATTCCTTCTAGGCCCCAGGGGACCCAGCCCTGGCTCAGCGCCCAGCCCTAGCCCTCACTGGCCTCCCCAAAGGCCTCGATGCTTCCGCCGTGCCGGCCTCCATTTCCTTCCTGGGAATCCCACGCCTGAGCCCACAGACCCCTCCTTCTGGGTCACTAGTCCCCAAGATCCTCACTGTTCAGGTCTCAGCTCAAATTCCCCCATTCCCAGAGAGGCATGCTCCGCCCCCACACATGCCCGGCTGCTGCTCTCTAACATGCTAATAACTTGCTTCTCAATTGGCCCAGAAAGATATCTCGTCTATGTTATTCTCTGCTGTGTCCTGGACTCATAAAAATAGGGCTTAGTATACAGTAAGCACTCGATAAATATTTACGAAGTCCACAAATCTGTATCGTACCAATGAGGAAACAGGGA